TGGTGGGTTGGGAGTTGGGTTTAGGACCAAGGTGTGGATTGAGTTTAGGTTAGTTTTAGGGTCAGGTAGGTACCTGTGAGGGAAGTCGTGTATGTTTTTACACAAACACAAGTAGAATAATTAATTTAAATATTTTGTGGTATTTTTACACAGGTGTAGTTTTACATACCAAATGCATTTCAGCTGTTACCTTTCATATCAGATTTGCAGGCAAAGATCATCTTATGTTGGGAAAATGCAGTTTTATTCGTTTTGATTTCACCTTGAAAATGATACAATCCCATGCTAGATGTCATATTCAGTGAGCTACCACACTAGGTTTTCTACCTACCTTTCATCTAGATGCACAGCCCGTGATTATTTTTCGACCATTTTATTAAAATCCATCCAGTGACACATGAGATACTATGCTAACGACAAACAGGATTGACTCCAACAATTAATGCTAATGTTTTGAGCAAAACTCTTGCTCGATGAGCACTTAGAGTACGTGATGTAGATTACTGTCAGCTACAACCTCACCAAAACACAACATAGTATTTGTCAAACTGCCATTTTCCTGCCTTCTAAGGTGAGTTGGCTGTTGTGATCATATTAAATTGACTGGCTCTTAAAGTTAATTAAATGTAAATGTATATCCAATAACTATTTCCTGAAAATGTTTTACAGTCTGTCCAGTGGTTTGAGATATTTTGCTAATAGACAAAGAAAACGGACAAGTTTTTCTACAGTATTTTGGGCTGAGATTATATTATTTTGCAAATGGAAAAAGTAGTATCATTTGTTCTTTTCAAATGTTTTTTTTTACTTTGTCTTTGTTGAAATGAAACTCATAATTCTCATGTGTACCTGTAGACTCTCTATATTTGTTCTGTATCTTCCGAGGTTTTGCACTTTGTTCAGCACGGCAGTGTTTGTGTTGTTCAACATCAGGCTCCACAGTGTTGATTTCATTGACATTTTCTGACATTTAAGCATATGGCCACACATCTCAAACAGGACTGGAATAGCTGGATGGAATGAGATTCCAGATAATCCTAAACACTAACAGTGAAGTCTGTTGTCTGCTTTTCAGGGATCAATAGACGAGACACACTGCTCTTTCCCCGGCTGAGATCCAGGTAGGTGCAGACACAAAGAAGGTTCAAAGTCTGACAGAACGGTCAGCCGACAATTGAGCTCAACGTCTCGCTGCACAATCCCATGGTGTGTTTAAACAATAAAACTTTGTGTAAAACAAAACACAGACATCTGAATATAATTCATTTAACCATTTACAGGATCCAGTTGAAACTGTACCATTTAAATAAACAATTTTAAATATGAGGGCAGCAATACATCTAAAAAATGTCTGGAAAAATAAGTGTCACAAATAAGAAAAAGCTGGACGAGCATTTTATAATTACTTAGGTTAAATTCGTAAGTAAGAGGACTAGATTTAAAAAAAGATTGTTTTGCAGTGGCTGAATATCTCAGAAGTTCAACAGCCTGTGAAAAACTGCATCTAAATTTAGAGGAACAATTTCAGAATAATTCCTAACATCCGCTACAGTTATATTATTTTGAAAAAGGCTTAAAATTTAAGAAATCTTTGTGCAAAAACAAATAAGGTGGGTTGCCCTTTTTTGGTTCAGCTCCTCTCCTATTGGTCAACAGACAGGAAGTAGCAGGATCCATGTACAGATGGATTATGCATACCTGCTCTGCCTCCGTTTAGCATCTATGAGAACAGTTCATTTCTGTGAACTATGTCATTAGATTCAGTTCGTTGAAATGATTTGTGAATTTTAATTTCCATGTCTTGTTTTTACTTTTTTCTGTTTTGCATGCACCATCAGTCTGCATTAACCAACGGGAGAGGAGCTGACCCAAGAAGGACCGCCAGCCTTATTTGCATAATGAGGCGGCAGTGCATAAGGAAAAATAAAAACAGGAGACAGAAAATTGCCAAAACAACACATGGAAGAGAAAAAAATTAAAGAAAATGTATTTAAAAATGCATCTTCAAGCAAAAGGAAAAACAAAAAAATGTATATTTTTAAAAACAATAACATTTAAATTATTTGCTACTGGAAAAATAAATATGAAGGTTGATTAATTTCTAAAATATGAGGTAAAGTTCTCCTTTTTAGTTTAATTGGTGCATTTTTAGTGGATTTATTTATTTACTGGTCCATTTATATGTTTCTGCTTTTAATGCTAATTATGTCCGATTCTGTCATTTTTATATTCTACTGACCAACTGGATGTAAAATAATATCTGCATATCCTTCACCCAGTATTAATAAATCTAATAATCATCTGGTAATTATCGTATATTGTGCATATATTCATGAAGACAGACACACTGAATGGTTCCCGCTGCTGTATTGCATCTGACAGACGCAGACCTCGCTGTGTACAGTTCATAAAGCAGCTTTGTGTGCTCTATCAAGTTTGAGTACGGTTTTATACAAACTAATTGTTGATAAATCGACCCCTTGGTTTCGTGTGATGATAAACAGGTTCATTTAAAAAAAATGCTTCACATAGGACCAAAAATTTATTCAGTTAAAATCAGATAAATGATGTTTGTGTGTTAGACTCTTTGATGAAGATGTTTTGTTGACAGCAGCTTGTTGTTACAATGTTCCTCAAGCTGTTTCAGCCATTAAGGATCAACAAAACTGACAGGAAAGCTCTATCCATCCATCTTTTACCTGCTTCTTCCTTTGAAGATCACGGGTGCCCATGAACAGCAGTCACTGAATGAGGAGTGGGGTACACAATCTAGAATTATCAATGAACCTAACAGTCGTGTTTTTGGTCTCAAAGATTTTGAGAATGCATTTGAAATTTTACAAAATTAAATCACATTGAAGGTTTTTAGGAAATGAGTCATGAACTGAGAAAATAGATGGCAGTGGAAACACAAGATATCCCTGCAAAAAGATTTTATTTTGTTCTCTTTTAGAATCTGTCAAAAACACAAACAAATCAACTCGTTTTTTTTAGACAATTATTTCAAACTCATTTCTCAAACTCATACAGAAACATTTATTCAATAAATACAGTATTTGCCCATGTGCTTTGACATGTGATGGGGATTTCTTTTTGGAGCACATTTACAACACACCATAAATAACTTTAAGAACGGATGCACATTTCAGGCTTTGACAAACCAAATACAAAATCAAAAACTTGTATAAATAATGGTTCAACCAGGAACATAGATGACAAAGTGAAGGAAGGAGCAACAAATGAGACCCATGTTTTAAACATTTATTAACAGTTTCAAGCTTTGTTATTAGTGAGTGACGCTTTTTTAAAGGTGGTACCTCACTGGGCAAAGACTGCTGGAAACTTAAAACTGTAAGAAAATAGATGAATTTTCAGCTGCAGTCTGAACTGACCAAAGAGCCATGTGGTGACCAAATCCCAATGATCAGGTCTGTTTTTCCTGTGCATGGCTCTCAGAGCTGTAGTCTGTCATTCACAATTTTTTATTGTTCACAAAAAGATTGTGTTTTCCACTTCCACCCACATTGTCACTTTGTACCAAATAATTGATTTGTTTCAACATTTGATATGTTTACTGTGTTCTGAATAAAATTTGATATTTGCCAACCATTCTGTTTTTATTTACATTTTACACATCCTGACAGGTTGTAGGTAAAAAAAAGTTTTGTTAATTACGAGGAAGATTGCAAAATCGAATTACTTACATTTTACCCTCATGTCAACAAATGACACGAGGCTGACATCTGTCCACACTTGATGGTGCCTCAACACAGCTGAGTTCTGCACCACACCTCTTTTGATTCATGCTTGAAAGCTCACATCTATGCGGAAAGTTGTTGGTGATTTATGAACGGTCAGAAGCAGCTTAAAGACTGCCTGTCTTTGCAGCCATTTTGCAGAACTCATTTTTCAAAAGTGCCAAGTGACTAATAGCAGGGGCTGCCAGTTCATATGAGGCACAACCTACTATTAAAAAATAAAATCCTTTGCCCCACAAAGAAGTTCCTCCTAATAAACTGAAAGATTTCCTGTCTTGTGTTCTGCTGGGAGTGGATGTGGGAGCGGGAGGCTTTTGTTTCTCTGATTTAATAAGACCAGACTGTTTTCATGAGACACAACCTCAACCCTCAGGAGGAGGAAAAAATGTGTTTTGATTGTCACCTGAGGATTTACTGGAGGTAGGCAGGTTTGGACCATTTTTTAGAAATAATCTTTCATTGAAAGAATTGGTTTCATATGTTTTATGTTCACAATTCAAGCAACAAAACTGTGAGCCTTCACAGCTTACACAAAGAAACTGAGAACCCAGTGAATGCTTCAAGACATTTGGGGGGAGTCCACGATGACAGCTGTCCACCAACAGGTCACAGTCAGCGAGGTACTACTTTTAGCTGCCTGCCCTGATAGATAAGTTGCAAATAATCATAATGATTCATCTTTTTACAAACACTCCTGATTACTGCTAACATTTGGATTTAAAACATATTTTGTATTTGCTGCCATGTTTCCTCTCATCTTATTGTTGAAAATAATTGATCACACAAATGTTTTCTCTTTAAATCTCCCCATTCGTTCCTTCAGGGTGAGCAGATGTACTTTTTTATTAATTACCAAGACAGTGGTGGGTGTCTCACAAAAAGTGATGAAATGTGAAGAATGAATTTGCATATTAGTCTGTGAGGTAGGGTTGAGTGGTATCAGTGTCTTCCTCAGATTATACCAAAGTATATTATCATCTGCCTGCAGTGGCTAGTTTGTCTTTTTACTGTACACATATTAGGGCATTTTAAACATTTGTTGTTGTATATGTTAACTAAATTTGATCAGATGAAAAATACAACAAAAATATTGTTTTTGATGCTACTATTACTTCACGTAATTAAAAATACAAAACAAATAATGGCTTGAACAGAATGTCAGAAGGTTACAAGACAAGAACAGATCATTTCTAAATGTTATTTTTAAAAGGTTTCAGTTATTTGAATGTAATGCTACAGAATCCACTTCTGCAGGTGATTTTTACCCCCCTCGTCTGAAAGGCTGAAGTGCTTTTGGTCAAGACTGTGTTTTTCCATTAGGAAAATATCTCAAGAACTATTAGAAGGATTTTAATAAAACTTGCAAAAGGTAAACATTTGATGTACATTTACAACTTTTGGAGTTATCCCAATTCAAGCCACCACTGGTCAGAACGGAGAAATTCTGGAGGCTCGTTCTCGAATGTGATTTTCCATCTAGTCACAGTCGCAGTAAGACACTACTTTACTAACAAATTTTGAATGACATTTGTGAAGGAGTCTCCAAAATGTCTGATAACACTTGTGGGGGTTCTCAGTTTCCATGTTGCAAGAAGTATGCTCAAAAGATATACAAGTACAAATGTTTTCTGAAAATATTGGAACCCTTTTGAACTTAGTTACTGTAATTTCAGAGCTGTAAATTTTTATGAAATGACACATGTGTATTTTGTTTTTTATTATATGAAAACTAACTTGACCTTGTGCATTGATTACATTTTCAAAATAAAACATGCATCAAATTGTTTGTGAAAATATGTCAATTTGGTACTTTTATTTATTATTTCAAATGTTCCTAACGACTAAAGCCTCAGCTGAGAATCTAAGAAATGCGCAAAGGAAAGGAGGTGGAGATGATGTCAACACAAATACATATCAGTTCTGTTAGAAATTGTACCTCATCATGGCTTGATCTTGATGAAAACCTGAATGTAAAAATGTCCTGATAAATCTCAGTAATCCAGGTGGAAAAAAATCAAAAAGAAAAATAAGTAAGTCCTCTGGACGGGTTCTTCTTTAATCAAATGTTTCATCTCTGGGAGGAGACTGAATGTAAAAAATGTCATTGAAAATAAAAAGCTAGCACAAAACAAGCTTTTGATGTACTTATGCCCTGCATCAAGCCTCTCTGTCAGCTGTGCACAAAAGAACAGCTTAATTTTGTCTGGTTGTTTGGTTGCAGACTGGTAATTTTCATACAGGCTAGGCTGGTGGTTTTCAAACCTTTCAGGTTCTGACTCACAAAATAACAGCATGAAAGACTTGCAACCCCAGTTATTGCTGGTTGAAGTGGATAAACGTAGCTAAAAATCCAAAAACACAAGGATTACAACAACAGCCCAAACAGTTTAAGCAACATTTTTTTCCATTTATGACTGCTGTTTTTAAAATAATATAATAGTGACAGAACGTGCACAATAAAATTAAAAATTCCTGGAGAATTTTCATCAAAATGTTACTGGGAGTTTGTGAGACTGACAAACGACGTGTGCAATTGTTCTACATATAAATTCAGTAAGACTGCACTGTAAGCTCTGTGCATTGCTTTGCAACTCTTTTTTTGTGACCCCAACAGTTGCAGCCCAGTGAGGTACCGGATAAATTAAATATTGATCAGAATTTTCCAGAATGACAAAAAAATCCAGCCACCTAGATGCATACTGAAAATGGTTTACTTTGTGTTAGCCAGCCAGCAGGATTCCAAATAGTTAGTCAAACAGGTGTTAGCTACTGTTGGTTATGATCACTGAGGGGACTTTGTGGTTCTGATCAGCTGGTACACGAAAGTGATCATAGTGAGTGTGGCCAGAGTTGGTAGAGGTGCAGTAACCACGGAGGTTCTCTGGGTCATAAAGGTGCTCCAGAGTGTAGCCTGTTAGGGAGTATGCTGAATGTTTGTCCAAGTAGGGCCTTGGAAGGCTGTGGGAGGGGTAGAGGGCAGGGGCCGGAGTGGGGGAAGCTGAACATGCACCTGGCCGACCAAAGTGGGGGTGAAACTGCAAAGAAAGGGCTGTCAAGTCTGTCTGGAGGTAATCTTTGGGCTTATGGAGATGCTCAGACTCAGGACTGCTGAGCCTTGATAGGGGTGCAGGGCTGGAGGTGGGGCTTATTACCTGATTAAAACCTCGACACACCACAGTCTGTAATGGAAGGGGCACCTGAGAACACTCTGGAGTGAAGCATGGCGTTGAACCCTTGGGGAGCACATTGACCAGTCCTACTGGGATATTCTCAGGACCCTTACGCGACTGCAGACGTCTTTCCTCATTCTTGATCATCTGTTGTGTGGCTCGAATCAATGTCTCAATTTTACTGGGTTCCTCTGGGCTGCAGGGATAGCGGTCTGCTGGGTACCGATCTCCTGAGTCACTGGCCGATCCTCCATCTGGCGAGCTGACTATGCTGTCCTCATCCCAGTGGCCTCGACCTGCATGATGATAAACAGTAAAAACACTGAGAACATCAACTGGACCCAGTCTTACAGACAGACAATCCTGTTTCATAAAACAGCTCTGCCGTCTGGATGTTTATTAACACATAAGGACCAGTGTCACCATGGGTCATTGGGTTTTATCATGGAAGTAGAAGTGGGTCTGGGTTCTAACAGTTTGTTCCTGTCTGAGAAATTGTCTGTCTGTTAGCAAAGGATTTAATGAAGCTTTGAACAATTTTTTTTGAAATGGTCGGTGGTAATTTGATAATGCTTTATCAAACCCTCATCGAACCCCAAAGCACTTTACACTATAGTCATTCACCCATTCGCACAATGATGATGGTAAGCTACATTGTAGTCACCGGGCCCGCTGACCAGGCAAGGCGGGTAAAGTGTTTTGCACAAGGATTCAACAACTGAGACGGCTGGAATGTAGGATCAAAACGGCAACCCTCCTGTTACAGGACAACTCCCCTAACCACTCTGCCACAGCCGCCATAGTCAATTGGTCAACTACAGTCAAGATAGCTGCCACAGCTAATTTAGCTTGGACTTCACAAACTCTGATTTGAACCTGAGTGGTGTTCTGTTGTTGGACCTTTGTGGTAGTCACGGTTTTTCCATCACAAACATCATGTTCAAACAGAAGGGTATCCGTAAATCCTTAGTTATAAAGGGCGGCTGTGGTTGAGTAGTAATGTGAAAGTTGGCAGTTCAGTTCCACCGTTATGGTCACATGTCAAAGTGTCCCTGGGCAAAACACGGAACCCCCACTGCCTTTGATATGTGTCCCATCAGTGTATGAGTGTGATTTAAAGCACTTTTTAGTCTCTATAGATTGATTTGCCTTTATTAGTTTTGCATAGAGACAGATTAGAATGTTGAATGACTGAATGTGTGTGGGTGGGTAAATAAGGACACAGAGTGTAGTGTGAAGAGCTTTGGGTTGATAGAAAGGTGCAATATAAGTACAGTCCATTTACCATTTACTATAAGTGCACGTGACACCATAACACCCTAGGTTGTAGATCGATGATTGACTTTGTAGTCGTCTCATCTAATCTTTGACCGTATGTTTTGGACACTTGAGTGAAGAGAGGAGCTGACCTCTCAACCAATCACCACCCGATTATGAGTTGGAGATGGAGGGGGAAGATGACGGACAGACCCAGTAGACCCAAATGAGAAGTGAGGGTTTGCTGAGAACGCCTGTCAGAAGAACCCATCTTCAACTCACACCTCTAGGAGACAGGGGACATTAAGTCTGAGTGGGCCATGTTCCGTGCCACAATTGTCGAGATGGCTGTCTTGAACTATGGAGGCAAGGTTGTTTTGTCCTGACTGTGGAACATTAAAGCAGCTCTTTACCCTCACTAAGGTCCTTGAAGGGTCATGGAAGTTTGTCCATCCAGTCTACATGTGTTTTGTGGATTTGGAGAAAGCATTTGACCATTTTCCTCAAGGTACACTGGGGGGGGGGGGGGGTGCTCTGCGAGTATTGTGGGCTTGTTACAATACATGTCAGACCCCTTCAGGGTGGGATTTAGACTCTGCCAAGGCTGTTTGTTGTCACTGGTTCCCAACTTGTATAGAAACAATTGTTGGTGAATCCAGGGGAGTAGTGTCAGCAGGGAGTCAGGCTCGATGGCCTCAGGATTTCATCTCTATTTGCTGATGATGTGGTCCTGTTGGTTCATCATGCCGTGATCTTCAGCTCTCGCTAAAGAGGTTTGCAGCCAAGTGTGAAGCAGCACCTTCAAATCTGAGTCCATGGTCCTCAGTTGGAAAAGGGTGGATTGCTCTTTCCGGGTTGGGGGTGAGGTTCTGCCTCAAGTGAAGAAATTCAAGTATCTTGGGGTTTTGAACACAAGGGAGAGAAGAATGGAGTGTGGTTGACAGACAGATCAGTGTGGCTTCCGCAGTATTGCAGACTCTGTACTGGTCTGTTGTGCTGATGAGAGAGCTGAGCTAGATGGCAAAGCTATATGTTTACCGATCAGTCTACGTTCCTACCATCACCTTTGGGTAGTGACTGCAAGAACAAGATGGCATATACAGGCAGTCAAAATGGGTTTTCTCTGCATGGTAACTGGGCTCTGACTTGGAGATGGGGTGAGAATTTCAGTTATCTGAGAGAGACTCCTCCAAATCCAGAGAAACCAGTTCAGGTTATTCCAGCTTCTGGTAAGTATGCCCCCTGAACACCTCCCTATGGGAGGTGCTTCAAAATGTCTAACTGGAAGGAGCTACCAGGCAAAACCCAGGACACGTTGGAGAGACTTTCTCTCACCTGGCCTGGGAGCGCCTTGGAATCCTTCCAGAAGAACTGCTCAAGCTGCTGCCCCCATGAGTTTACTTAAAGTTTGGAAAAATCAAGAGAAAAATATGTGCAGGAGATGTAGTGAGGGTTCTCACCGTGGTAGCTATGAGTAGATGCAATGTGTGAAACGCTGCCATCATAATCTTCACTGTCCTCCAGGCAGCTTTTGGTCAGTGGTAAGAGGGACCGGGCGGCACCCAACCAAGTGCCCCTGCTGGGTGGAGGCGCACCAAGGAAGTATCTGCCTGCATCACATCGAACCCGGTCACAGCTCTGACCCTGACCGTGAATGTGGTTGTCACTGTTGGTATGATGCTGCTTGTCGGCCAGGCTGTAGCAGAGACCACGAGGATCAGGGAACTGCCTGTAGCTGTAGGAGACATCCAGGACATCACTGTGCTCCAACTGAGGAGAGGCAGAGTCAGTGAGTGGGCTGCTGCCCCAAGGGCTGTCCTGGTCAGATTCTGATCGTTCTGTGTGGAAGCTAGAATACTGCAATAGGGAGGAAGGAGAGAACAAACAACATTAACAACACAAGAGAAGCAGACTAAATTTCAAAACAATGGTGTTTTTGGAAATTGTTATTAACAAACAAAAATAATCAAAGTAAAACAAAAGATGTTCATGATGATACAGTTGAAGTTTCAGTAGCATCAGCATAAGGACAGAATATATTATGCTCCACATATCCATTTGCAAAATAACATGACTGTTGTTTGGTTCAGAAAACAGCAACAAACTAAACAAACAGTGTCATGCAAACATTTAATATTAGCTTGTGTTTTTTTCACACCAGTCATTTTTGAGGGAGGCTTTTTTATAAACCTGAAAAACAAAATATAACAGGCCCTTGTTTGGCTAGCCAGAACCTAACCTGGACAACGATTTTGCCCTTTTGTGCTCTATGTCTGATGTCACAGCTGATAAAGTGTTAACTATTGATAACTATTTGGCAGAACATAACTTCAAAAATGACCAGACTACCCCTTTAACAATGCAACTTCAGAATCACCACTGTAGTACTGAACTGTCTGGCTTTACTTTACCCAAAGCCTGGGCCCTTTCAGTTCAGATGGCAAAAAAGTTTAGGTTAGGTTTAAGGTGAGGGTCCGAGTTAGGCTAAAAGTAATTATTGAAAAATGAATGGAAGTCAATGGAAAGACGTGTGTATTTATTTTTTTGCTTTCCAGAAGGAAAACATTCATTAGTGCAAAAAGATCATTTAAATTAAATAAATGAAATACATGCTGTGTATTTGTCTTCATAATCAGACTTCAGCTTCCTAAATATACAGCAGGACTGGATTAAGCAGGCTTTGTGTAGTCTGATTTGATTTCAGCCTTACTTGTGTGTAAGGTGAGAGTCTAGCTTTGGTTTTGGGTCGAGCCAGTCTACTCTTGAGGGTTTTGCAGGAGTCTGGAAGGCTGCTGCCACTACTGTAGGAGAAAGAGGCCTTGGATGTGGCCTGGTCCAGAGATAGCTGGAGGCCCTTGTACTCTGTTTCCCTGAAAACACAAGAAAACAAATTAGCCTGTGACTAGAAACCCTTCATACAACACTATGGTTGCTTTGTTTTTATCAAGTAACATTGTTTACTGTGCTGTCCTTGATTAAATAAACTTGAATCACTGAATGAAACACAAGAATAAATGTTTGGATTTATGGCAAGATCCCAGTGCGACTAAAAGTATTCTTAAAAGACACAAGCAGTTTATGTGTAACTGTGTGTTTATTAACACCAGCTGCCAAAAGGTGAATGTGGGCAATAATGTTGTGTGTGTGTGTGTGTGTGTGTGTGTGTGNGTGTGTGTGTGTGTGTGTGTGTGTGTGTGTGTGTGTGTGTGTGTTTGTTACCAACACATCTCATGAACCATGTGACTAATTTTACAGGATCTTTTTAGTATAGATCTGTTTAGTATAATTGCAATGGTGAGTCATCCCTACACATACTCGAAATGCCAAACACTGCAATATCTTTGCTCAAAACTTTAGAGTTAACAGCTGGAGTCAACCATGCTGAACTTAAAAAAAAAACTGCACAAAATCCTGGTTTAAAACTATAAAGATAAATACTGGGAGTCTACGCTGTCAGTCACTTAATACAATATTTCATGTTCCACTTCAGAAATTAATTATTGGATGTGCATTTAAACTGATTCATTTTTTGTGTCAATCCTATTTAAGATGTGGGCCATTAACATTAACCAACACAAAAAAAGCTTTTTGACAGATTTCGAGCTAAAATTTGAAGTGGGAGTGAATGAGAGTCATTCTCAGCACATTTTCTGAACACTGACAGCTCGCATTATTGCATGAGATTGAAAATAATGCTATTCTCCAGGTTTGATGAAAATGGCTACAACTATATTCTCATCACAAGATGAGGCAGCTGCCTTTACCTTTTTAAAGGTGAAGAAACCCATTAACATCTGTTTGGTAGTTATGGCCTGATCATGACAGGGCTGAGAGGACATCATGAGGTGTGTGTGCATGTTTCTGCTAAAACATTGGAACCATTTTCCATAAAAACACAGCCTTGTGGGGACCTAATGCTCCCTGTGGGGACCAGGTACAGATGCTGATTTTGGGTATGGGGTTAGGCTTAGGGTAAAGGGTCAGGTTTAGGCTATAGAAATGATTGAATGAATGGATGACGTCAATGCAAGGTTCCCACAAGGAGAGAAAAAACAACTTGTGTGTGTGGGATTGCTGAGAGTGTCTGAAATGTGCCAAGAGGGCTGCAACGGCTGTTGGGATGCTTGTTTTACCAGAAGGATTGCAACAAGGCCCTCAACAAACACTCGACAGAAGAAAAGCTATCCTGTCAAACACACAGGGAGATTAAAGGCTGTGTCTGCCTAAATCAGGCCCACAGGAAACGCTTGAACGTCTCACTACAGGGAAATGGGAATTGATTTCTCGCTTAAGTGTTCTCACCATGGAAGATAAATCTAGTTTGAGGCAACAAAAAATCTGGACAGGATTTACTGAGACAAACAGTGAGAGTCATTCTGCATGTGCATAGCATCTCTGTATCAAACTTTCTACACACAAACATTAATTCAGACCTGTTATATAAGACTATATGATAATTTTTATTTAGAAAATAACAACACTTACTTACTAACTAATTGTGGAAAACGTTGAGATGTGTTAAATGTAAATTCTCACAGAGTACAATGATTAGCAAATCTCAGAAACTAATATCTATAATGGAACACAGCAAACATCTAATGTTTTAAATTAAGAAACTGTACCATTTCTAGGAAAAAACAAGACAGTTAAAGTTTTTATGGCAGCAACTGTTCCAAAAAAGGTGTGCTATTTACCACTGTGAGACATCTCTTCTTTTAACAACAATTTGTAGAGGTCTAGAAAAGTTTATTTCAATTCAATTTCAATTCAGTTTATTTATATAGTGCCAAGTCACAAGTGTCGTCTCAGGGCACTGCACACAAAAAACAATAAAGCCAGCAAATTGTGCTGAATCATCATTTCGTCTCCCATCTTGAGCAGCACAGTATTAAGTAAAGTAAGTAAGTAAAATTTATTTTTACATCACTTTTTACAGATAAAAATCACAAAGCATGCAATATTGAAATAATTAAAAACAATCAAATGAAAAATAGATGTAAAAAAATGTAAGAACAGACCAAAAAATAAAAATAAAACATGAACATTCTGAATCTGCCTCTGACCAGATGCTCCGGTGCATCATTTTACTTTTGGAACAAAGAGACTTTTTTTTCCCACTCTTGGAGGAGGTAGACACTTTTTCCTTCTCTCCTACACTTCTTTATCTTTCCCTGCTTTGCTGCTTGGAGCCTTCTCTACATTTTCATACAAAACTGAAAATTATGGATTTGTTTTTATGGATTTGGTTAGCTGGTCTTTTAATAAATTTTTGGAACATTTTTTTTTTCCATGGGAGGACATGTCAAAGGTGGGACCTCTGTTCTGCTCTGTTCTGGATATATATTTGGATTCCGATCACTGGATTCTACAGATTGGCTTGGTGGTCTCCTGGTGTTCCACAAAACAGCGTTGGCGGCTATTCAGGCCATTTCCTGGCTGCCTGACCAATATGAAGGATTGCCGTTCTTTCAGCACTCAGACTTTTGCCTTGTGCGAGCTGCACTCGGTCTGAAAGTGGTTCTGCTGAGGGTCGTGGGCCGGCTGTGGTTCCTGGACTTTGCTGGCCAGATGAAGTTGATCTTGGAGAAAGTGAGAGCTCGGCTCGGTGGAATTGTCCACACTATTTGTCTGATTGGATTCGCCACTTTGAGAGGTACCAGTGGACATTGAGGCTGATGGAAAATTATTATTGTCTGCCTGACCGAAAACATTTTTTCTGTTCCCAAAACAACTGATTACAGATTCGTGATTTGTCATGTTCAGACTGTCATAAGAAAATCAGATATGGGTCACATTTCCCTGCAGAGAGAATGTATCCTGGAACTTGAATGGGTTTTCAGTTTAAAGCTACACAGAAGAGAAACATATTTTAAACAGTTCTTTAAAAATGTTCTTCTTGAAATTATGTAATTTATTTACTTCAATTACAGATCACTAAAATAAGTAAAATAAGTGTGATCTTTTAAAACAATTCATGGTTCAAAACATTTATTTGCTGCAGTAAATTTGTTGTAACATACAACAACGAGGAGGGATGTTTTGGAAACATTTATTTTTATTTAATTTATTTGACAGCAGATCAGAAGCCAAATCAATCTCTGATTTTGTGTCTGCCCATTCCATTTGTCTGCACAATTCATACTTGTGTCATACTGAAAGTCTTAGATTTGGTATTCTACTTGGTTCCATGAGATTAAAGTGTGTGTGCTTGAGGCAAAAAAAGTGAAGAGAACGAAAAAGAGAATGAAGTATTAATGTCTACACAGCTTTCGACTTGTTTCAGACAGCTGATTAATAAATCACAGAGGAGCTGTGATAGCGACTGTAAGTCTACAGACCTGCAGCACAAAGAAACAGAGGTTATCAGAGCTGAACACACACAGAGGGAGTTCACACACAGGTGAAGTGTCTTCAATGTGTCTGATATCTACGGCTGAATAAACTGCAGCTACTCCACAAATGAACTCAACTGCTGAGATAAGTCTGTGAACACCCACTGACTGCATGTCTTTGGTCCCAAGAAAAAAGGAAGGAAACAAAGAGAGCTAGAAAGGAAAAACAAGGAAAAGTAGAGAACGAATACAAATGAAAAATAAAGTAAGGAAAACAAAATGAAAGAGTGAAAAAATACAAAAAAAATCTTAATTACAGTCAAGCAAAAGAGAAAATTTGAATGAAAAAAGGAGAATGAATTTTTTGAACAAAAAGAATGAAATAAAGAACAAAACAATAAAGGAAATAGAATGAGAATGAATGAGATAAAGAATTAGAAAAAAAACAAGAGAAAGCAAAAAAATCCAAAATAGAGTATGGAAAGTGAGAAAGAAAGAAAAACAAACAATATGACAAAAGAACAAGGTAACAATAACGTTTTTAAAGTAGGACAAAGAAAAAAATTAAATGAAGCAGAGAATAAAATAAGTAACAAGATTAAGGTGAAGGTGCATTGGGATAAAATTCAGTAAATTAACATTTTAAACTTAACAAGGGTCATAAAGTGTGTAAAAGTTTTTAATGCATAACATTTTACAAAATGTATAATCCCACATATGAAAAGAAATGTTTCCTTCAGCTTGTTTAAATCTAAAATTCTTTCAAAAGAATAAAGTATGGAAAAACAACAGCCATTTTATAATCAATTTCTAATTTTCCATTCTGTCTTGCAGAAGACTAACTGTAAACTAAATACTTATTCAGATCTAAGACTAAGCAGGAACACTGTAGTTTGTTCAGTTAGAGCAGAGATTTAACAGAACAGAGAACAGGAGGGATATGAGGAACAGTTACAGCAAGCAGAGCCCATTAATGCTCAATAAATTTACAATCTACCAAATAAAAGGCTCGAACACAAAGCACTTTTCGATTTGATAGGAAGTTGAGAAAATGTGCCAAGTTTTTCTCTAAAACCAGTCAGACTTGCTGAGAATGAAGGGTTTAAGGTTCTATTATTTCATGTGGTCTCCTATACATCTGTAGAACATGAACAACAGGGGTAATAAAAGGAGTACATTTTATTCTACTCACATAAAAAAAACATGTCTCACGCAAACGTAATTTCTGTAGAAATTATAGACTAATTTTACTACTGGATTTTGAAATCAAAATACTACAGGCCACCCTAAGGAGCAAGACGAAGGTCAAACAAATGTGGTCACAGATAAGCTTTCAGGTCCCTAACACACCAACAAACACTGCCACCAACTGAGCCAACACATGAGCAAACTCTGTGACAAAAAGCCACATTCTGACACATGGAGAAACAAGAGAACAGCACTGCAGATAGTACAGGAATGTTTGCAGCCTGGAAAAGGAAACAGAAATCACATCTTCTTTGTTTGCAACTTACTTGAGCTTTCAACAATAATAATGAATGAAAACCCTGAAGTGATTTTACAAACTTTAAATTGTCAGATTTTGTGAACTTAGGTGGGTCATGTTTTTAATTAACCTGCAATAATTGCTTCACAGCAAGTGTTTACATAAATCTGTAGCACCAACACTCATTATCTTCTCAAAGCATCGAATGACAGCAGCCCTGAAGCTGCTAAACCTGTCTGAGATTTGACACCAAACCACCTCTGACTTAAAAAACACCTACTGCTAATCCTTCAGTTCACTTAAAGATGCCACCTCATGTCTACTAGAAGACAATCTTCTGTTTCCCAAATTAGCACCATCGAAAACAGTAACCTCATCAGTTGTTGGTTTGTTCCAACAATGTTTTTACAGCTTTTTGACAATCCCTGTGCTAGAGACGGAGATAATTAGGCTTTGGATAAAAATGTTAGATGCTTTTGCAAGTCACTTATCACCGTCACAAAAAAAAAAAAAAAAAACATTACTGTTTTCTTTAGCACATACTGTAGACATACTAGGACTTCAGACTGGACAACAACCTTGCTTTGCTCTCCACAGCCTTCATGACTCGTGAGACTGTGGCTGGATTATGGCAAACTTGAAAGACCTCCCTCACTGTGAAGACAATCATGAGTCTGATATGATCCTAGTCTTCACCAGATAGGATTTCCACCCCCCATGTTCTATAAATCAGCAGCTCATTGTCATGGCGAGACTACCATATATGCGCAAGATCGCACCCCACTCCAGCTCCAGCATCAGGCTACGGAAATACAGCAAAAAAAGATGAAGCCATTTTTGTCTGCTTTTGTCCACCGTAGCAGGTGTGTATGGAGGTAATTTAGTGTTTTTATTATTCAACCAAATATAAAAGCAGTTTCAACAAAAAATAAATAAATAAATAAATAAAAAATTCAACCAAACAAAAAAGCAATTTCAATCAAAAAGAATTTCAAACTAAATGTTTTTTGCGAAACAGAAACTTTTTTTTCGCATGTCAGAAATCTTTGGTTGAATCTCAAACTTTTGGTTGATGCTCTAAGATTATGGTTGAACTCAAAAAGGTTTTGAACTCAGAGGACATGAACATTTAGGGTGGGGCCTAATGAGGAACTACTGTAAGACCTGTCCCTATTGGTTAGTGTGGACTGAAGCAATTTCCCCTTGCACCTGTTTCGAATGTCGTCACTACATTAAAGGTCCAATATTATGTGTTTCTCAGGCATTTATTTAAATATTATACCATAATAAAGTATCTATGTCAACTTTAGTTGTTATTAAAATGCTGTTTTTATATTAAAATAGAAAATAAACTAATCTTCTCATCACTTCCTCTTCTAAACACCTTGAAATTGGCCTCTGTCTCTTTAAGAACCACCTTCCGCTTCTGCCCTGTCAATTTCAGGTGCGTGCGTGAGGGGTTGTTTTGCGTGTGCCCTATGATGCAGTTTACTTGGCATCTGAAAATACATTTCCTCAAAGGTATTTTGAATCTGAAAAGACCTTCACTGAGTGAGAAGTAGTGGATCTCAGCAGACAGCTTAAGTTTCACTTTCACTTTTGCTTTGTTACTGCCGAGAGCCTGCAGGAGTCATGGGTGGGGTGTGTGGGGTGGGGGGTGGGTAGGTGTGATCCGTGATGAGGAAGTTCGGCTTGAAGACACATCCCAGCGGCATTTCTGGTACCACAAGGCGTTTCTGGTCCCCACCTGTCATTTTGCTCCTCAGCAAACCCTAAAAACGCTGCAGGATTTCTCAAACATGCATGAATGAGTCAAAGCAAGGCTTTGGGCATGTTTTTTATGAGAGTATAACATTATAACATGATATAAAACTCAAAAAAGTTGATTTTACATGATATTTCCCCTTTAAATTGATGTCCTCAGAGGTTATCAGTACCATACATTGTGTGCAGACTGTCCCTCCTCTACCACCTAGTAAGTTTGAAGGCACTTATCAATTATTTGTATGCATAATACGTAATATGCACTCAGGTGCAGTGGGTTTGGCTCCTCCCCTAGGACGCGGAGCTCAAGCGGTCATCCTGGCCTACATGCTTCATGTCTGAGCAGACCCAGAAAACTCAACTATCTGTCAGGAACTGCTAGCAATGTCTGGGGTTACCACAGGCAACAACCCCGTTCTCCAACCCACAGATCAAGTGCTTTCTCGGATCAAAGTTGGACTGCAATCCTTAATTATTTTTTTGGATTGAAAGTGCTTTTTTGTTTGGTTGAAATTATAATTTTTGGTTGAAATTGTTATTTTTTTATTGAAAAACATTTTTTTTTCAATTGAACTTACTATTTTCAATTGAACTTACTTTTTTTAAATTGAAACTGCATTTTTGTTTGATTGAAAAATAAAAGCATTAAATTGCCTTCATAGGTGTGGTGATCAGAGTTTTCAAGTTAGCATGACGTTGTCTCCTACAGAAGCAGAGGCAGATACTCACGTGAGAACGTAGTTGACGCTGACGATGCAGTGAGGTCGTGAGGAGCGACTGTTGTGTACGATGGTTGCATAACTCTGAACCCAAACCCAGCCACCATGTTTAGCCAGAAAACGATAATATTTTGTGGTGACCTGGCCTTTCACCAGCACTACAAAAACACAAAACAGAAAATCAGACTAATGAAAAAAAAATAAAAGAATCTTAACAGGTATCAGGGTGATTATATTTTAGTAGATGGAATCAGTTTAAATGTAAAACAATGACCATTCTGAAAAACCTTTGATTGTTTTAACACGAGTACAGTTCCATGTAGTATCATGAAGATGTCATGCTCAGAGTATGTGTTGTGAATGACTCTCTGCTACCACATCAAGATTTAGCTCAACTATCTGTAAAACTGACTAAGTCATAGTTATTTTTGTTGGGTTGCAGACAGTTTTTGTGACTATTGTAGGTTAATTAGGGTGGCTATACTGAATTGGATTGACTACAAATGTTAGTTAGTGTTACATTGAACAGTTACTTTCTGAGAGTTTTATTGAAATCGGTCTAGTAGTTTAAAAGGTATTTTGCTAACAGCATTTTTAGCAAGAATACTTTTTTTTGCATAAACAGTTGTGTATCTAAATGTTGATTTGTAAAGTAGGGTTCCCTTGAAAAAAAGATTTGTGATCTCAATAAGATTTGCCTGGTTAAATAAACAATAATAAACAATAAAAATAAATTTTACAAATGTAAAAAACTATGATTATTTAATGTGCAACATCCAGCAAAAATTGGAACTTTGAAGTGCAGCACTCAGTCCATTTATGGTGCACACACAATAAAAACAAAAAGCTCCATCTGTTTGGAAGTACTTCAATATCTTTAAAGTTAAAGGGGAAAATGATCACAAAAGCCTACAAATTGTGTTTATGATTCCATTAAAAGTAGAAGATCTGCCTGTTGTTGCTGTCTCTTCTAATGATAGTATTTAGGCCACAACTGTTGGAGACCTTTTGGCAAACAGAAGTCTCCAAAATGTTTGAAAACATTTGGGTTCTCAGTCAGCTAAGGTCATTCAAAAATAATAGTAAGATACCTCTTCATAATTTCACCACTTCACTTCATGCAACTTACACAAATGATGTGCACACCGAAGATGGAAGGAGTCACAGCTGTGGACGTGGTGATAAAGAGTCTTCTCTATCAGATCCTGAGGCTCATAGCCAGTCAGCTCAGCAACCCTGATCAATGCACATGCAGAAATACACACACACACACACACACACACACACACACACAC